GTGTGTGTGTGTGTGTGTGTGTGTGTGTGTGTGTGTGTGTGTGTGTGGGACAGACAGGAAGCAGGACTTCAGCCACAACTTTGATGGCTGGGAACATTTTGGGGAGGTCATTAATAGTAGCCAGTGGGTCGCCTTCCACACAGACGTAGCTGGACTGCCTCAGTGTAAACAAATAGCCACCCACTACCACTGTACCTACTTCTAATAACGATCAAACATTTCTGCTCCATCAGCACATGGAAGCCAGAGCCTTTATTGGAATAAATGTAATGTTTTGGTTGGAAAATATGTAAATGACAGAACTCCTGTTTATTTATTTGGACCATCAACATGCTGATATTACATCACTGAGAGGGGCAGGAAAAGCAGGCAGATGATTCGCTGAGCACAAGACACAAACTAAATGCACAAAATGTAGCGTTTAGTGGATATTTGGAGGCTTTTCATTCTGAAATACTAAATATCCAAAGGTGCTGCTAGGAGACAAAGGAGAGATGATGATATAATATTCCTTTACTCATCCCTCAAAGTGCAGCGGCAGATAAAAAAAACTATTCAAGAAAGTATTAATCCTTATAATACAGTAATAGAAATGTACACCTGAACAGTATGGACAGTGCCAGGCTGAAAGGAAAACACCATGTACACCATACTGATGTACATCCACCTAAATTAGTTGAGTTTTTTTTAAGAATATTTCACAATGATCAGGTGTGGACTGATTTATCATTTATCATTATTTCTTTTTGAAGCATTCAAACTCTAGTTTACTAAACAGGTATGGAACAGATTTAAGTGTCATTTTAATCCTGTTCTAAAACAAACGGCTTTAAATATTCCAAATCACTCAAATCTTACAGCATAATGTTTTTTTTCTCTTCTATACTTTTCAAAATGTTGTATTTTGGCATATCGGTTATGTAATATGAAGTCATTAGTGGGATCACAATTAGTTAGCCATGTGTAACATAGGAACTCCAAATAAATGTAATGAGACTTGCTTACCTGCGTCAGACTCGTTGAATTGTGAATAGTTCACCACCTTCCTGTTCCTGTCAACACACACACACACACACAGTGTCAGGTACAACACCCCCTCCTGATATTCAACAAAGCTCAGCAGAGAGAGGGTCCCCTAGTGATTACATTTCACATATATGGAGCAACGCGTCTGTTGGACTTTTTTAGGACTGAGAAGCTACAAACCGCCTCCTGCTCAGCGGCCACCGAACAAGACACTGGGCTCTCTTCTAGAGTTTCCCCGGTTAGTGTGGCCGGCGTACGGGCTCAGCCTCAGGTGACACACGGCCCCGGCTCAGGTAGTACACACCTTTAAAGCAGTGGACTGGAGCAGAAAATACACCCCTAAACCAACACCTCATCAGGTGGTTTGGCTTTTTTTTTCAACCAATAAAGTAACCAAACTATGTCTAAAAGGCCTCCAACCACCAAAGAAATAGAACATGCAGATACATTTCAGTGCACAGTAAGTTTCAACCTACTGAAAGTTGACACCTATTAAAAGGATGATGATGTTTTCAAGTACACATTGCATATGCACTATTCATAAATAATCATAAATGATAACACTCTTTGTCTAAATAAACAATCCCTTTCCTCATCTCTCGCCTGTTCCACTTTTGTCAAGATAGAAAGTCAATAAACCGGTACAAGTACGATAATAATAATATCACAGGATGACACTTAGATAAATATTGGGAACAACCATTCTGTTAAAACGTTCTGTAACACAAGCAACACGTGCACACTTGTAGACTGGTACAATGTGTCAATTAAATAAGTTGTCATCCATTGAATGAGTCAGAATGGATGTTGGATTTTTCAGAGGGCCTACTTCAGTCAATTCGAGAAAAGGAGTGAGGAAAAGAGAGACTTTTTAAATTATAGTCCCTACAAAGTTAAAGAAAAATAAATAAATAAGATCACGGCAGGGAATCATGATCTATGCATTAACTGTGAACCATTTCAGCCACAAACCCGTTTTACCCAATAGCGGGCTATGGAGCCTGTTAGCATCTGTGAGCTAGCTGCTCTGCAAAATCTTTTCAAGGATGCAGCCAGTCTGCTTAAAAAAACAGCCCAGTTCAGTTAAAGGATTCCTATCAACATATTGGTGGTGCCAGTTTCCATCCCTTCCTCTTCTGCTTGTCGTGTCCATGTGTACTACACCTAGATTCCAGCTGGATTCCAAATAAAACTCCTCTAATTCACAATTGATCACAATTTCTCATAGTGAATAGGGTTGTCAAAAGTATCGATACTCAAAAAAGTATTGATACTAAAATGTTGTATCCAGATACGATACTCATTTTCAAAAGTATCGATACTACCGTTCGAGTGCGCGCGCGTGCACGACGCTGACATGCCGTCGCTGCCCCCCTTCTCTCAGATTTATCCATTTTTTTTACGTTGTTTATGGTCATTAACAAGTTGTTAGCCTTGAACTGCTAGCTTCGGCTCACGGCTAATAATAACGTGCTACCATTAATCAAGTACATATCCGACTCCGCCCACATCGAAGTCGGCCATTATAATTACATTAACAATGGGAAGATTCAAGGCAAGAAAATCCTAATTGCCTCATGGCAATATAGATTCATTTAAAAATTGTGAAATAAATCTTTCAAACACTTAATTAAACTCTACACATAATATTATGTTAAAATAGTGTATGTTAAATAGGTTTGTACAATAAGTCCAAACAAGTTTAATAAAAAAAATATTTATTTCTCACAATTAGGGTTTTTAATGCAGGCCACCAGTCACGATATCATCAGTAACAGGTCAGTTTGAAATGAAAGACACTAACCCGTCGAAATTCAGTTAAATTTTGGGGTCTTTTTTTAATTCTTGTGGTATCGAAAATGGTATCGAGCATCGAGTATTTTTCTGAGTATCGGTATCGAGTTGAAAATTTTAGTATCGTGACAACCCTAATAGTGAAATAAGCAAATTAAAAAAAGAAAACTGACAGTGAAGTGTCCCTTGGAGACCAAAGGCATGGTGTGATAAATCCACAAAATGAATGAGGGGTTAGTGCTTGGGTACAGGGATGAAGCCCAGGGATCACTCTGTGCTGCAGAGGCCTGAACAGGAAGTCTGCCTGCCCCCTTTTACTGTAGCAGCCAGCCCACATGAAGAAGAAATGTGTGAGTCTCTAATAGCTAGGATTTGTCAAAAAGGTCACTTGATTGCTACCTGGTGTTCCAGGTGGGGAAAAAAGTTTAAAGTCCCTCAGGCACGAGTCAGCCCTGTCTGCAGCTCCTACCTATTGATGACACAACTGGAGATTTGGTCATTAAGACAAGTCATATTTCTTAATAAAGTTAATTAAAGGTCCCCAAATTTTTTCCAATGTATGTTGTTTTGATCTCTGAATATTCTACCCTATGCAAGTACTTACAATTAAGAATGTTTGTGAATGCAAATCAAGGCAGCAAGATTGAGATAAGATTCACGAAACACAAATGGAAAAGGCATTCATGAAGAAAGTTTTTAGGGGAAAGGTATCTACTCCCAGTGTTATGTTTTTTGTTGACAAACTCATCCGAAAAAAAGAGAATCTCAGGGAATGAGGACCTATGATTGTCAATTCAAATATCAATAGATAGTTGTTTAATAATTCTACAATTCAAATGGCTTATGTGCATATTTACAAAACCAGAAATACTGAGTAGGAATAGTAGAAATGTACCATCTAAAGTGTGGCTGAACCCATTCCCACATTCAGTGGACTACACTGTGGGAATATGGTCAAATCCAAAGTTTGCAGCCCGGTTATATAAAAATTGGGGCCCTTGAACAAATGGTAAGTAAAGCAGGGAAAATTGAAGTATAGGTTTTCCTTTGCTCCACATAAAATTTACAGTAATATTTTTAAATCGACAAACAAATCCAGGGGAAGGAGACAAAGGGATATATTGGAAAAGATGTAACATCTCTGGTAGCAGTCATCTTTATACATTCACTCTTCTCTATAGATATAGGCAACTTCATTCCCCTTTTAATTGAGGTTGTAATTCCTGTTTTTATTGTTTAGTAGTCAATTGGATAATGTTTAAAATATTCATATTCCTAAGCATTCAAATTGATCTACAACTTTAAGATTAGAATGTTATTTGAGGAGTAAGATATGTTCATTCCATTGTGTTTAACAGCACCAGAGAAGGTTTAGTGTGTTGACTGAAGTGTATCACCCGAAAGCCTGTGCAGATGGTAGGCTGCACCTCAACTCAGAGCTGTAGGGTCTGAATGGATGGGTTAGGAGGACCGTCCCCTGAGGAGCCCCTGGACTGTTCAAAATGGTGTCCCAGGTGGCGTTCTGCAGCCTCATACTGTGACCTGCGGGTCATTCACCCACAGGTCCAGTTTACTGCCCAGTAGAGTGGGAAAGAACATGACTGTTGTCAATTACAATGTCCGGCTGGTATACAAACTGTAGGGGGGGGGCAGTTCTGGTTTTTGTGATGGGTCTGTAGTCCCTGTAACCAGCCACAGAGCAAGAACAACCATTATGCTCAGGCTTAGGTGGAAATTGTGCCAAGAAGCTGGTCTGGACGAGTTTGGGGGCTCAGGTCAAAAGGCCTGAGCTCCATCTTTACAGCATCCGTGCTGATGGTGGCAAGTGTCCACAACATTAAAACCTCCTAAAAAACAAGTTTAACTTGTTGGTCTGCTCTCATCGCTGCTGCCATCTTTGTTCCCTGACCAGTGATGCTTCCCATTTCACTCCTTTCTGTTTTGGGCAGGGTCGCTCTCCAATTTTCTCCCATAGTGGTCCTTATCCTCCCCTCATCTCGTCCCTTCTTCCTGTTCAGGGCTGCCTTGATGTCATGGTCATGCGTGGTATAGTGTTGGGGAAGAAGCTAACTACTTTTGTAGGAAATATAAAAACCATGCTGAAGTTCATTTGATTTGCAATGCAATCCCTGACTATGAATATAAAGTCTTCATATCTGGCCCCCTCTGAAGCTAAAGTTGGAGTCTGATTCACCAGAGGGGGGAGAGCTAAGGCGCCCGTCACATTTGCATACAATGGATCCAGCGTTTTATTTTCCCTTGTTTTACAGTCGACAAACTGTGCACATTTGGAAAAGTTGAGTCCATTGTGACACGGCTAAAATTCCAATATACTGTAATAAAGTCCGACAGTCCACAGAGATGGGCCATACAGACGATGATGGCGTCCAGAAACTAAAGAGGCTATATTATAGGAGGAGAGCTACTGGCAGGAGTTTGATGTCCGGGATGGCCACTCGCTCCTTGTCCAGCCACGTGAGCTCAGGTCCAGAGAGGCTGGCCGCGTTTCTGGGTGATGTTCATACACGGCTTTAGCTTTGCAGGCGGAGGTTGTGATTTTGACGTGTGGATGTGGTGACGAATTGTGTGAACAGATATTGTTTTTTTCAGTTGGGTTTTTCTGATTCCATGAGGTGATGTCCGTCACAGAATGACGTTTATGAATACAATTAAGAGATATTTACACACACACATCAAAATAGATCACATGGTTTTGAGAGCAGAGGCATTGAATCTCATAATTCAATTTTTTATGTCGGTGTTAAAAAGAAAATCGACCCAACAACAGGCAAACTAACACATCTGCTAAGCACTTAGACCTACCTATGAGCAGCTTTTCAGAGGACCACTTGCAATGATGACTAAGCAACAGAAGCACTGAGACTCACTAACTAAATGTTTTCTGTTTCTGAACAACCTATATCACGTTTTTTAAGTAAAAACCCATACACGTTCCAGTCAAATCCTTAGATATCCTGCGCGGGGAGCCAAAGATTAAAAGGACGTTGGCAAAAACGAGTTCTTATCAAGCCTTGATAGCGCGTTTCAATTAAGTTGAAAGGAGCCGGAGAGCCTCGCGCGCTCATCACGGTGGGAACCCAGCACTGGATCGGCGCGCGGGCGCGCGCGTGAGGGGGTGTGGTGACTTTTGGAATCCTCCGCCTTCCTCTGACATCAGCCAGCAGTATTAATTTACAGCCAGCGCTCGAAATGTACCCGCTTCTTTTTTTTTCTTTTTTTTTTTAACCCCCCCTACAAGGACGACATTTTTCGTCGACTCCTGCATAAATGTCCATTGTTCGGGCTGTCCGAACGCGCTGTAAACACACGGCAATGGCGTCCACCCCGACAGGGCCAGTCTGCGCGGTAACAAGATCAAACCCCGAGGCCAACCACCTCCTCCGGTGATTTTTTTTTTTTTTTTTTCGAGCGGGGGTATTAGCAGCATTTTGGAACCTCCCCTGGATGAATGGGGTAGCCATATTCTCATTCTCAGTTAAAGAAGGGGAAACCCATTTTGTACCCTAATTAAAGCGAGATGTGAAACGTAGCTAGCTCAAATCACACCGACTAGTTTTTCCGCTCGGCCTACACAGCGGCCAACAATGCAAATCATGGACTCGGTTAAAGCGTGATAGCCATGACACAGTGGCGGTCTAAGCGTTATCTCCACAAGACATGGCGAACGGTCCACACCGCCGGGATCCATGTTAGAAAGAGAGGGTGCACACACGAGAAACGAGTTGCTCACGACACCATTCCGACATTTAAACGTTGAACAAACCCGCCCGCCGCTCATAAAAGACGGCATGGTGGAATGTGCACATTTATCTGCGTTACGAGACAGCACAGTGTCGTTATTTAACTTGCAGGGAGCAGAGGACAGATTTAGCACACCTACCTCACTGGTCTTGACATTTTGCAGGAATACTGTTGAGGTTAGGGATGTGAAAAAAAAGGTGGAGAAGAAAAAAGCACAAGGAGAAAAAATAAATAGATTCCCGCTCTGTAAAACACCAATGGGAGCGAGGTTGACGCACAACTCCACCGTCCCAGCTCGCGCGTGAAAAAAATACTACGGCAGCGACTTGTCTTTCAAATACAAATATTCTTTTTTTTTTTTTACCCTCAGCTACTCAAAATGGTGAATAAAACAAACTGAAACTGCAGCTTGTGTGCAACCAAACCCCGCGGCCTTGAGGGGAGGGTCCTCACCTACAAGTCCCGCCCATGCGGGTGCTGAGAGGACCAGTACGGCTCTCTGTTGATCCCATTGGTTGATTCGAACGACAGACTTAATTTCTATTGGACGAATTTGGTGTTCTAAAAGCCTTTTTTGCAAGTAATTCTCCGCCTCTGTTAGCATGGTCGGTTGAAACGTCACTGTTGAGAAAACAAAAAGAGGCCCTTAGGTTGGCTTTAAACATGCATTTCAGCGTGGGTCCCAGAGCTCCAGGAGTAATGTTGCAATTATTGGTTACAGCGTGCGCAAACATAATGTATTTATAATGAAAATATTTTCCAGCTACCACACTGTCTGTCCTTTTATTTCCTTCAGGTTTACCTGGCAGCCTGCTGCAGCATGACACTCAGGTAGGGCATGCATCTGCATTACAGGTTATATAAAGACCTATGCAATCAGAAACACAGTTCAAGCACCAGTCATTCCAATGTTATATTTCTTACAGAGCATCTATAACTGCATTTAAGTCTTTCATATTCAAATAGATGTCATGCAGATTTCATAATAAAGTAGCTGCTTCTGATTTTTGTTTAAGAGATTTATTTTGGCAGATCGATAACCATATGGTTTAGGTATATCTGAATAGGTCAGCAGGAACTACTCAGGATCTCTTGAGTACCTGGACTTGTCTCACATTGTTCTAGGTTGCATGCATGAATGAACAGGAGCTTGTGTGATGAGGCTAAGTTCATAATTCATGATGAGCACAGCTTTATTAATTCTGTCCTGCGTCTCCAGTATAAATTGAATGGTAACTCATAAAAGGATAAACAAATTATCCATGTCCACGACAGGTGTGGATCCTGAGTGACATTCAACACCCCCAAAAAAGTCTTGTTTTACACAATGTTCCTAGTTGCTATTGATACCAATTCCCACCTAGACTTCATAACTGAAAGCTTAATGGTTTTACAATCACTTTTTATCTCTGTAATGTAGAAATGATTATCTTTACCTATTTCTTATTATCTTTTGATTATCTTAGAGTAGACGGAGGATTAAAAGCAGGAGGATTAAAAATGATGCACTGAAAGAGATGATGATCAGTTATTAGTTTTGATGTAACCTAAATCGTTATTCTGTGATTTCTCTATCATTTGTTGACAGACTTTTTTCAAATTGTGGAACCTCTGCACATTGCTACCCGTGAGAGGCTGCCTCCACGAGGACTTTTTTCACCTCCAGTTATGTTTATGCAAACTAGCTAGCAAACAAGTTGTTGCACTTACTTTTTCAGCCTTTTTTGTCCTTCTATCAACTTATGGAATCTCATCAAAATATGGAATATAGCTACTACAGCATTAATATTTTGGCTATTAAACAAATAGCAGATCTGTTACAAACTCAAAGTCAGAATCCCTGTGTTGCACCCAGGGTTTTAAGAGCAAAATCACATCCTTTGTCCTCACAAATTCCGTGCATTTTTTGCTACCTTATGTGGTTCGCATCGACAAAACAACAAAAAATCACAGCGACTTTAATGTGCCTTGAGGTAGAATGAAATGAGGTGGAATGCATGCTGGTTTTCCTGCTGCTTACCTGACAACACGGCCTAACCCAGTACAAAAAAGAACCAAAAACCCTAAAGTTAGGATCTTGCCCGTACTTGGCAGGATGAGACACAGGTGTTAGTTCTGCACTGTTTCTGGGTTTGAGTCTAAGCTCGAGCTTTTCTGTGTGGAGTTTAAATGCCCTTCACGTTATACCAGTTTCCTCAGGCTGCCCAAAGACATGCATGAGCTAAAGTAATGATTCTAAATTGACAGTATACACATGCATCAATAAGAAAAGTTGATGGTTTTGCTGTGTCATCCTGTGCTGGAAAAGTTCTCGGTGGACCAAACGTCCCTCCAGGAGATCTCCTGGAGTTCCCCACAACCCTGAACAGTACAGAAGAATATGAAGGCTTATAAATAATGCAAATGTTTCCAACCACTTAAGATCTTCATGCATTTTCTCTGGCCACACGAAAAGCTGAGGTACAAATAAGTGCCCTGTGCCTCGCATGATTTCACTAGACAGCCTTAACAAAGATGGTGGGTAAAATGTCTGGGTATCTTTCATTCTCAACAATGTCCTGCAGCTCATTTCCTAATTCACCTCAAATTCTCATTAATTTAGCATGAAAAAGTCACTGGCTCTCATATGCTGATCAGATGAAATCAGACTTTTCTTCCAAAGTTCTGATTTCTTATGAGATCTTTCTCATGAGATCTTTCTTATGAGATCTTTCTTATGAAACCTTTCTTATGAAACCTTTATCTGAGCCTACTGACTTTACACAAACCTGAAGAGAAGAAGTGTCAGTGAACACAATCATGCTGAATAAATGCAGGCTGTGTATTTTTGACATTACACTTTTAAATAGAACACATGGAGCTCTTTAATAGTCAATCCGAATTCTGGGAGCAGTAAAACAAAAAAGAAGAAGAAATCAGCCAGTGCCAAAGCCAACACATAGCATTAATACAACATTAGGCAACGAGTTAATTCGGGAATCTAATCTTCAAGTTGGGGAATGCAAGCGCGTCAGATATCATCCACACACTACCGGCCACCAAATTCCACCTTTATTGGGTGATCCAGACCTGTGCCCCTGGGAAATACAGACCCAAACGTTGTTTGAAATAGTTTTTTTCCTATAACAGAATCTTCAAACCCATTGCTTCACTTCCTTTATTTTGTTGCCATTTTAAAATCACTCCATTCATATTTCCATCTCTTGCTGTACAAATGGATTTAAATGGTTCCCCTTCAGGCAGAGAACATTACAATTCATTTAGCAATTTGACAGTTGAAGATGTGGAGAGGACACACCGCATTTTTTGGTCAGGTTTGGTTTGTAACTCAACTCTGATTACATTTGTAGGGCTATCATGATCATTTCACACTTGTCTACATAAACCAGAATCACAATATATAATCATTTTAAAGGAAACAAGATAACTTAGAAAAATTGTAATGCGTGTAATCCTGAGGTTGTTTTTTTTTTGCAGAAATTCATGTCAAAGACAGAGATGTCACCATAATTACATAAAGCTGCTCAAAAAGCAATACAATATATGAATTTATAGAGGTGTGGTTAGGACATTCCCACCAGCTAGTATGGCTGCTATCCATCTACTGTATGTCTGCTTCCAACTTCCAGTTTTACTACAATGAATAAAACTCAACTTCTGACCAAAAAGAAGATCGATTGACAGAAGAGATCAATATCTAATATTATATATACATACATATATAACAAATATTACCTCTATATACGTATAACATCTTCTTTCTTCTTCTTTTTGTTGAGTTGTGTAACTCAGTGATGGTTGGAGTCAACACTGGCTGGAACTAAACACCTTTTGATCCAACCAGCAGTCGTGAGTAGTGCAGTTGCATTATGGGTAAAATTATAGGACACCAGCTTAATCTGAAATCCCCAAAAAATAAATCAATGCAATAAAAATAATAATCAAAAAGCGGAAATATTTAATATACATTTAAACATATTTTACATTTCAAATCAATCAATAACAAGCTGGTTAATTCTTCATTGTAAAACTTAAACTTGACACACCGCTTAATTTAAAATGTCAGCTTTGCGGAAAGTTGCGGAAAGTTGAAAATCATCGATTGGTTGATTCCACAAATCCATTGCTTTTCTGTTTGTAAAGAGGTCCAGCTAGGGTTTGGAGGCTCGGGGGGGAAAGGAGCCTTTGGTTTTTTTAGGTTTGTTGAATCTCAGGTCCACCCACGCATGTGGTGAGTTCAAGTTGGTTCCGTCAAACTGTAGGCTGGGCTGAGGGCTTGTTCGGAATGTGAATTATTCCAATCATAAGTGTTTGTTTGTGTGCGTGTGTGTCAGCTTATGGAAATGACAATGAATTGGTTGTATTTTAGCAGAGCCTTTTGAATCCTTATTAGTATTTTTGATGGTTTTTGTGACTTGATGATAATCCCTGTCTTGTCTCACTTTATTCACAGACTTTGATCAGATTTCTCTCAGATTCAACATTGTTGTGTTCCTCTGTTGGATTAATTTTCACCTCTTTCTCATGCCTGTTTATTTGAGTCAATGTTAAGCCAGAACACATACCACTTGTAGTCTCAAAATAAAAATGTGCTTTTAATGTAACACTGACACCATGAGGTTCAAAGAGTCAACTGCAATGCAGGATGACAAGAAAAATAAGACTTGAAAAAAGGTTTAATTTTCGGTGAGGTTTTCTCTTTACTAAAAGGAATAAATACATCATTTGGAAATATTTGGTGATGAGTAACACGGAGGGCAATAGAACTTTAATTATTTCACTTATTTTCTATGTCAAACTAAGTGAAAGTAGCATATATTTGGGGATTTTCTTTTACATATTCTTCAGACAAACCCCAAAATAAACTGAAATTAAGCAAGATCTTCTATCAAAATATTCTTTTTTTAATTCTTCTGAATTCAGGTTCAAGATAAGATGTCATTAAGATTAATATAACTTATAAATGAACATTCCTTCTTTATTTTGTGAGACACAGATAGCCTTATTTGGTATTACAAAAGATTATAGAAGCTAACCACACAGCATAACAACATCAGTCTGTATAAGGTCATAGAACAGAGGATCTTCTTTGCCTTTTAATATTTCAGGTAGATTTTCTCAAACTATCACTGCAATGGCACTTTTCAGTAGTCGTC